ATAGCTTCCCAGATTGAGCCCGTAGTGCCTGAGGCAACTACTCTGCTCAGATCCCACCACGCTGAGATGGGATCACAGAGTCACAGAGCATGGCATAGGGGAGCATCCACTCTCTCTGTTCCTTCCTCAGCCCAGTGGGGGCAATGGGTAGGCTACTGCTGCAAAGCTGAGTCTCATGTAGACCTGGCACCATGCACCTGAAAGCTCAGGATGGCATCAGCTGCAGAAACCAGGGATTGGCAGCCTCCAGATCCTTACTGTCCCTGTTCTCTGGTGTGATAACTCTGCACAGACTCTAGGTAGCTCCCCCGTCAGTCCAGACAGAGGTCTGTGGTGGTGGAGGGAGCCCCCTCACAACTCATGCCACAATGCCTGTGGGGTGAGCATGGCACCCCAGTGCTCTATCCTTCTAATCTTCCCTATGTGTAGATGCCTCACCACAGATCCCTTCGATCTTGTCAAATGAATTGCCCATCACCTTCTCCTTAACTCTGAGTACCCAACATCACTTCTCTGGGGTTTCACAATGTTCCTTACGAGAAGAGCTATCCATAGGTAGGCATCTGCCTGCAACTTACAATCCTTGCCTTGAGAGTGGAGTGCTCACAGGCTGCTTCTAGTCTGCCATATTCTCACCTCTTGTTTTTTTTTTAATTTAATATGCATTTTATTAGCAAAATTTTAAAGTCTACAAAGCCAATGAAATAAACAAAAAAATATCATTGGGTATAGATTATTAGATAATTCTAAAGTTAAGTCTATAACGTTTTGCATTGCACTAAAATATTTTCATGTAAATTTGATGTAATAATTATTGAACAGGTACTAATAGCCATAGCATGGGAGGACAATTAGCAGTTACTGGAGCTTTTATTGTGTGAACTAAGTATAACTAGTACCTGAAAATATTGACTAAATCAGAGTCATTGCAAACATATCCAAGCCTTATGAAATTTAAACATAGCAGTGATAAATTTTCATTTATTAATGGGGACTATTCTAGTAGTTCCCATCGTGGGGTTCACATACTGACCACAGCCTATAAGAATCCTCAAATGACCTATAGGACAGCTTGACCTTATTAATGATTCCGATATGAAAGCCCATATTTTATTTTAGATTCTTGTACAAATTAGTAGTTAACCAAGAAGATTTTTGCCCTCACCAAAGTCCCATTAAATTACCCCCAGTATTTTTATTAATTCTGATGAATTTTTAAAAACGATATATAGAAATGGTTGAAGAATAGGTGGGTGTGGCGATTAAATATTTAGAGTAGACAATACAACAGGATCCAATTAATGAATATATTAGCCATTCTTCACCTCTTGTTTGATTGCTGTAAGCTATCTCTGTATTGAGAATCAGCCACAGGTGTAAACTTAAGGTCTTCTGAGGTCTTTTCTGAGTCTTTCCTCAGGCATATGCAGTCACTTTCTAATTTTCCCTGCATATGCAGTTATTTTTTAATATCCTCATCTTTGATATTTGGCTTCCAAATGTGGAAAAGAGATTAATGAAAGGAAGGGGATGATGGTGTCAGCCCTTTAAATCCCCTGGATATTACTTGAGCCAGAGTTGGAGAGACCTGCAATACCTGGGAAAGTGCAACAACAATGGCCACCTGCCCCTTTGTCTGATCCTCTGTTATCAGAAGCAGCAGTTAGTGATAAGAGCACAGATCTCTGTTATTTGTAAGACACAGTCCTTTTTGCCCACCCTGGCTCCTGCAAGCTATGTGCAAGCTGCTCCTGGAACACATGCACAGCTGCCTACCCTTGTTGCTGAGTGGTGGCAGATAGGTACCTGCTACTGTTCCAAGAGCTGAAATTGACTGAAATTTACCTCCCAAGCCTTCCCCTGGAAGTTTCAAGCCTTTAACAGACTCCAGAGTTGCAAAATAGTTACATTAGACAGATTCTGCCAGTGAAATTTTTGTCTGGGTAGGGAGATAGATTCCTGGTACTTCCTAACTCTGCCATCTTCTCAGAAGTCTCTCCTCATTTTCCTTTTATATGGTGTTCTTTAAGCTATGCCTGTTCGGAATGCAGAAAGAAAACTGCCATTATTCCCAGATAACATGAGAAATTTAAAAATACACAGAAAATTATTTAAACTAATAAGCATGCTGGAAATAAAGTTTTTATGTAAAAATTAATTGCATTTCTATAGACATGTAATAAACAGCAAATTCACTTTAAAATGATATCATTTATAATAGAGATGAAATACGTAAGAGATCTTGCTATAGAGTTTTTTTAAAATATGTGAAAGATTGTTATGGAGAAATTTATATAACTTTATTAACGGACATTTTAAAAGATGTAAATAACTAGAGAGGCAACCCACTTTCATGGATAGAAAGGCTTAAAACCATGAAGATCTCAATTCTCTCCAAGGTTATTCCATGCAATTCCAATCAAAATTCCAGTGGGATTTCTCATGAAATTTGACAAGTGAATTATAAAATATTGGAGGCATAAAGAGCCAAGATGACTAAAATATTCCTGAGGATGAAATGCAATATGTGTATTGATGTGTGGGATACCATTGATACCAACCAGGTTCATTCTGTCAGCATGCACAGTGAATCAATCACCACGACCATGGGTTTTGCAAAAGACAAAGATTTATTCACAAGGCAGCCCAGTGAGGAGGTGAGAGAACGGCTCTCAAATCCACCTCCCTGAAGATAAGGTTTAGGGATATTTATGGGTTAGGGAAGCAGGGTGGTCTAAGGCATGGGGAAATGTGAATGGTAGCAGGGGAAAATGAAGTAACAGGTTCTGTGCAAGTGTACAGGGTTCACGGCATTTCATAGGACACATATTCAGAAAAATGGTGGTATTAGCATGATCTGAGAGTGGAGTTTTTGGCCCTCTGACTTCAAAAGGCCACTTCTTGGGCATTTGCACAGGCCCAGTTGAAGAGTCAGTGGTCTCAACCAGTTTGAACTGAGAAGGAGATGTCCCAAGTTCCTGAAAAACAACTTAAGCAACTATTAATATTACCATGGTGACATATAAATGCTATCGGTAAGGAAACCAGCAAAGGTTAAGTTACAGCATTCAGCAGCATGGCCTTCAGCTTCATGGAAAAAAAATAACATAAAGCAAGGCACCAAAAGCAAACAGGGCAGGCTAAATTTGGAGGATCTAATCAGATTAACCCCTCAATTTCACCATTACATTTGATAGGTCTGAGGTATGATAGAAATAATATTTCAAATTAGTGGGGAAAAGATGGATTATTAATAAATGATGCTGGAACAACTGGTTACCCATATGGAGAAAATGAAATTAGATCAAGTCTATATACTATACACAAAAATAAATTTGATAGATTAAGAATTTAAATATAGGCTAGGCGCAGTGGCTCACGCCTGTAATCCTAGCACTCTGGGAGGCCGAGGCGGGTGGATTGTTTGAGCTCAGGAGTTCAAAACCAGCCTGAGC